GATTCAATATATTTATTGATAAAAATACTACTAATATTACTACACAAACGTTAGAATATCCTGAAAATGTTTGAATAGGCAACAAAATTTAACAGATTTAGAGTAAATCTAGATTGAATTCAGATTTACCAATAGAAAGCGCCATTTGGTTTTAGTATCTTTGTAAAAATAATATGACAATTTAGTTTTTGAGTCACTTCAAATTTAAGTATATAAAGGATTATCAATTCCATAGTTTTAAAAATATATATCCATTTTCTTAATCTTTGTGTGTATAGAATCTCACAAAAATAGTTGTAAAATGTTAGATGAACAAGTAAACCATGCATACATTTAAAACTTATAATGAAAAAATTTGTTAGTATGTAGTCCTTTCTGAAGTTTTTACATATATAAGCAAAGAATATGATTGTACTATATCTTTGTGTTTGTCCATCTATTGTTCATCTATTGCCTGTTTCCACCATCGTAGAAGTATGAGTTGTTTTTAAATAAAAGTAGCTCTAAATCCTTTTTATTAGTATTCCCATTAGCAAATCAATTATTTTTTTTAGTATCTAACAATATGAATATTATTATATCTGTTCAGTTATGCATATATTATATATAAATAATATGGGATGATTACTCTTTAGTTTTATTGTGATAATTTATCAGTTTTGTAAAAGATTTTGGATGTGAGAACACTATTGAGCTTTTTAAATATATATTTTTTTAACTAATCTGATAATTTTAAAATTTTGAGAACTTCAATCCAATTGACATATTGGAGTGCTATGGCTAGCTTTAGAAATATCCATACAATACGTTTCCAATTTCATTTTATTATAGCAGTTCAAAAGGGATCACAAAATTATATCTATTATTACCTATTGTGTTATTAAAATTGTAAATTTTATCTTAATTTTTTAAATTAGCATTTTCAAGAAACTTGATTTATTAGAACATATATAAATCAAATATATTTCCCTAAGTGCATTAGGAAGAATAGCACTCATATAGCTACCAGCTAGAACCACAATAGACCGCGTCATAATTTGATACACTTCTTCTTTGAAGTTTTAGCATTTCTGAAAGCTTTCGAATAAGCAAATTTTTAGTATTTCACAAATCTAATAATAATTTCACCTATTAGATTCTTAACTTCGTTATTACATCGAATTCTATACTATTTATTTTAATCTCTTGTTGGAAAGTGGTCCGAAATACTTTAACTCTGTTAGTGTTCGAGTTTCTATACCTTACCCTAGTGCCATTATAGTAAATCTCTATTGGTAGTAAGTTCATATGTTCTTTATATTATTCGTGTTAAAATATTTGTTGTGATATTACAGTTTTTGCATTACTATCATTTTACAAACCAGCACCCAGGTTTGTGATGTCTTGAGTTATGTAGTCACCAATATTGATATTTTGTGGAACTTCTCTTGTGCTTATAGCGAAAAGGTTTATCATGTGTGTAAAATTAAATTTCTATATTGAATTTATATATTTTATAAAATTAAAGAAAAATGTTTAGTTCTTCCTAGTAAATCTATTGTACTGAGGAATGTATTTTTATGATTCTCTCCGTCAAAAAATTCTTGACACAAGCTCTTTTAAGTTTACAATTAACTCTTACTTTCGAAACATATATATCATGCTATAACCACTTTTTTCCTAAAACTACATATAAAATAAAATTTATGATCTCACTCAAAAGATCTAAATTTACAACTTTGTGTTTCAACTTTTAAGCAAACCTTTAGGATTTTAAATATTTTCAAACTTTTTTGTTGGATGAAAAAAAAAACAGCAAACAATTGTAAACATAGAAATTTAAAGTGACTGCAGGGGCGTATTATGGCATAAATTTAGTAGCATAAATCAAAATGTTCCACTTCCGACTATGAGGACAAGTAAATTTGAATACGAATATACTAGGTAGAGATACCAGCATTGTGTAAATATGTGCGTATTCATATCTCTTTCTGGTATGTATCTATGCACGTAAGCACATACATTCTCTAGTTAAACTAATATAAACACTTATGCGAAGAAATGTTATATTTTCGGAATTTTGCTGAAATGATTGGAAGAGAATAGAATACCACAGGACCCGAGTGCGAATAATAGAAAATTTACGCTCAAATAGTTACGTTCGAAATAAAAGCAATGCATACGTAAATATCTGTCTATCTGCCCGTATAAGTATATGCACATTCATTATCTCCAAGTGGTCTTTGTGAGTAGTTAAACTAACATTAAATTAATAACTTCACAATAGCAACTGCAAAGATACAGCAGCAACAATGGCTGCAGGTAATTTTTCACTCATACGCAGTGCTTGCCCGTAATAGGACAGCTCATAAATTATGAACATAAATTACTTATATGTTATTATTATATAATTTCGAAAGAACGCGTTCTGAACAGTTCACCATTGGAGAGTATTTTAAAATGCAAAAATAATAGTGTGCCTAGCAGAGCAATTGCACTTGGATACTTGGATACTGTGGATTTAAATTACACTTAATTATGTTCTATTTTAGTAGGTGTGTGTATATTTAGTAGATACTGTTCCATACATTTATGGACTGCAAACAAATGCAAATTTGCTGCAATTAAATATTGCAACAACGCTAATTACAGAAGTCGTGTTTTATTATAATTTCACTTATTTTATTTCTGTAAAAGTGATTTATGAGGTCCATTCCCATTTCCATTCTAATGAAATGGAAATTTAGTACGGACTCATATTCTGATGACGATTGTGAAAGTAATGAGGTGAGTTTATAATTTCCATGAATTTATAAATTTAAAATTATGGGATTATTAAATGAAAAGAATATACTTTAATAGATTTTTGAGAGTTTCGATATTATATTTAAAACATTTTTCATAATTTGTAAGATAGTAGATTAAATTATTAAATTATTAAATGATTATTAAATGATAAAAAATATACTTTAATAGATTTTTGAGAGTTTCGACATTATATTTAAAACATTTTTTATAATTTGTATGATAGTAGATTAAATATGTGAATTTCTTTATTAAATTTATGAATTCAAGAATCTAACTTTTAATTAAAGATATAACATAATGTTTATAATACCCCCTATAAAATTGAATAAAATATTGCTAAATAAAGAGTTAATCATATTTCATCATCATATTTCTAAAACTATTTTCTAACTATTTCGTTTTACATTTTTTTTATTATTTTCATTTTGAAAAATCAATTATTTTAGTAAGAAATTTACCATATACTAAAATGTATATACGATTATTTTAATAAATAAATTTTATTTTCAAGAGTAGTAAGGTTTCAAATGGAATTATTAATATATTTATTTCATTGGTTTTTTATTACAACGATAATAATTTACATTTTTAAATATAGTCATTAAAAAGTTTTTATTCCAACAATTATTTGTCATTAATTGAAACAGACGAAAATTGTATCTTTGAAATGTAAGAGTAGTTCTTTTTGATTTGGCAAGTGAGAAAGATAATGTAATGGATAGATGATGATAAATGATTTTTAATTTTAAAATTTTTATACTTTATTTTTACAAAAATATTAGGGGCATTAATACGAAATCATGAAAATTAATCGTATGAAATCACTTAATTGAAAATTTGGAACTACGAACAAAGTTTATCATCGTCAGTGAGATGATTGAGTTTATTATAAAATTGAACTAAAATTTTTTTGTAATTAATCTTCAGTAGTTTATATTAATTTTTTTTCGAAGTCATTTTACTCCGTTTATCTCAGATTATCTCCCGTTTAAAAAATGTTAGCGGCACTCTAATTTATTTACGTTGCGTAGAAGTTGCTGAGACGTAGTTCACTTTTTTATATTGATTTAAATATCGCAGTTTATTACCTTTAATCATTATTAAAAGTAACTTTTAGAATATATCTCAAATACAAGACTAATGTGTAGAAATTCCACTAATTAGATCTGTCTTCAACTTTAAGTCGTTTGTAGGTAAACTATCTGATAGTCTTAGGATTTGGGTTGTACGAATAAATCCAATTTGTCCATATCATGGTCTTAAACTTACATCGAAATACATCATTCAAATATTGATAGCAGACAGTGATACTAATCCTTAAGAAAACATTTGATTGATATAATATTGGTAATTGCGATTGCCATAAAAGAACAGTACATACTAAGTATTTTGAATAAAGACCAGAAAGTGTCTGATTGTAGACAGACATTTTATTGTAGATATTAGATTGGAAAAGGATTTCCTAAAGCAATAGAAAGTTACAGAGTCACAGAGGGTCAAAACACAGATGACATTCTATTTTAATAGAATGGAGCACATTGTTGAGATCGAAAAACAGGTCTTCGGCCTTCAGATAATCTGCATTACATTAGTATTACCTCTACGTAGAAGAAACTGTAGTTATAAAAACTTATAAGCTCTGTAGCGTACTTATTACCGAGAATGTCACTTCAGAAGCAACTTATTTCGGTTATAAATTAAATAAATAAAATCGAAAATTTATCTGATTTATCTGTTCTATAAATGTATGTACAAAAACAAATCATTGAAGTGAGGTTTTGTTAAGTAAAATTGTGAAATATAATTTAAATATTCTCTTAAGGTAATATAATGAAAGTTACAGAGAAAGTTGCATAATATATAATATAAGATTGATTCACGTTAACTTAATAACGAGTACATACCTATATTACAATATATATCCATTATTACTGAAATATTTTAATTAATACAATACAACTTCATTATAATATATACTTTTGTCAATTTAAAAAAAAAATTTATTTTTATGTATTATACAATTTAATACAATATATTATAATATTATACAATACAAAATAATTTTATTATAATATATATATCTGTTAATTTAAAATAAAATTAAAGACTATGTGTTCACAATATTTTAATATTTAAAATTAAACTTAATTATTTTGTCTCATTGATTACAATTTTATATATTAAGAAGAAATTTATTTTGTTTTTAGAATAAAGTGGGCTCCCTCTATTAAATTTACTTATCAGTGTGCAAGTAGTACTGAAATAGTACTTCAATATACTGTACCTACTGAAGACATTAACTCCTTTCACAAAATGTACGAAAATTCTTGTTCATATCAAACGGCGCTGGACCTAAAACGCGTCTCTCCTCCAACGTTAACACAAGTCAAAACTGAAGACTGCCTTACTTTAGGTCAGTGTTCACCAGACTGGACGTCATATCGTTTCCATCAATCAACATTCGAACAATTGAAGCAAAGTGTAGAGAAAGCAAAAGCAGCTCTACAAGACCGCAGCACATTTTTTGGGGCTACCAGCGCATTTAGGTATAAGTTAGATATAAACAAGTTTTAAGTATATTGAAAAATTAATTTATATTAATTATTAAATTTTAACTTTAGTGATATTTACTCTACACAACGTTTAAGTGACACTCTAGACACACTACCTAATGTACAGAGCAGTAATGGAGCCAATTGTATTGGTATTGTGCACAATATGAATTCAAGCTCAGTGGCCAGTTCACCGAGTATTGTATTGAATGGTAATGGTATAACAACAGTTTCGTCTGCTACGACAGGCCAACGTTACCGTTTGGATAGTTTGCAACCTGCTGGCTGCTCACCAGGACAGCATGGCGTTATCACCTCAACAGCTCCACCACCTTTAACGACAACATCCTTAGATTCATCAAATGTAGAAACAAAATCAAGGGGTAAGTAAGAAATTTATAATCTCATTCATGCTATATATGTTCCATGCCCTCGCAATCCGTAGTCATTTCATATAGTTTAATCAAAAAAAAAATATTATTGTATGGATTTATGGAATGGCCTGTATTTCAGTGAAATATGTCTACATTAATTTTATAATGATACACAATTTGTTGGCATTTAATGGTCATATATTTTGTTTTGTTTGTATGTTTACTGAACTTGACAAGCTGCCCAACTTGTCCAATTCACTTACCGTCTTCATCAGTAGATTCCTGTTGGTAGCCACAAAGCACAAAAACTGCCAAAAGACAAACATCTAATAAAATTATACCAACCTTCTAGTCAAGAATTTTGTTCATTTTTCTATCTTCTATAATGAATTTCAATTTGACATGCAAGCACAAGTACAGGGAATATTTAAATAAATTGTCTAAAGGTAAAAACCTTTCAGGTCTCAAAGGCTTCACTGAGGTATTTTAAAAATATAAACAATGGCAAAAAAATTAAAAAAAATAATAACAAACTTAAACCTCAGTTTTCCATGCTTTCGTCATACTAAGTCCTTAACTTCTTGAGACTGTTTTATGCCATGGATTTAAAACTCTTTTCAAGATGTACAGTAAATTTATATATTTGTGAACTTCGCGGGTATTTATCGTATTTATAGCGAGGAATGGTGAGGAATGGCGAGGAAGTAGAAATATGCCAACAAAATGGTCAAAATGTGATGACCCAAACGAGTTCGCGGTTTACCGCCTCGTATATTTGTATAATGTTACCTTGCCAAGTTTTTTTATGATAGAAATACTTTTTTATGGCATTTATTTTTTTGCCAAAATTTAGGCAACCGTTTTAAATATTTTCATTTTTTACATTTTATAGTATATTGTGTCCACTGGAATATATTTCCATTTTTTTTACTACTTTTATGTTATTTGGCGCGAAAATACTTAAAAACGCTGTGGTAAATTGAAAACGTGGAAGCGTTCATGGGTTTGATTGTTAAAGTTTGAGGTACCGCCGACATATGTAAAATGTTAAGACAGTTCCTTTTATAGACGTAAAATGTGGCAACAACGCGAACGGATGTGGAAGATTTGTATATCCGTTTAAAAAGATTTACATAAAGTATTTAAATTTTTTTTTAATATTAAAACAAATTTTGACTTATATAGATAATTTGATGGAGATATTAACGAAATTTATAAATCTAAACAAAAATTAGATTAAAAAGTATTTAATATATTTCTTTGACATAAATTAAAGAATTGGGAGAAAATATGTTATGATTGTCTAAATTTATATGATTACCCTTCCCTAGATTTTTCAATATTTATCGAACTCTTTAAATCCGAATAATAGTGGTATTATCTATAGTCTGTTTCTTTGTTATAAAGAAATCATATAGGGAATTAGAAGTGTGCTATTGGATGGGGTATTGTAGAGTAGTAATTGGTCTTTGATACACCGTTTTGAATGGGCTTCATATCTATTTGTTTTGTAAATGTTTAAAGATTTTAAATATTATGGTTTTTAGTTGGAAAGTAATTGAAGATGTTTTAAAGTGGATCATACATAAACATCAATTAATTTTAAATGCACGTTTGTCTCTTCCTTTATCAAATACTCGATATAAGAACCTCCTATTCAACACCAGATTAAATATTTGTATAAAACAGTGATACCAAAAAAGTTTTTTTTCTAAATAACGAAGGTAATGTATACATACAATACATTCGATATGACGCCTTGATATTACATCTTTCGTTATGTGGAGAATCTACTGCAGTTGGAAAATAATGTTGAAGATGTGATAATGTATACAGGAGAGACATTAAAATGCAGAAATAGATACGCGAATGATAAACTTCTAGGCAACTATAGAATATAAACTCTATAAGATGCCGTTATTTATAAGAGTAGAAAGAAAATCAAAAAAAAATTTGCTTCAGCTAAAGATCTCTGGAATAGTAAAGATCTCTATGGAAAATATGGAATATGTAATACTTTTTCAAAGAAAGTTTAGTTTAGTCACAAAAAGTGGAGTGAAATTAAAGATATGTCTGTGAAAGACATATGTAAAATATATATATAGATTGATCGAATATGCCTAATATTTACTAGTTTTATAAAGGGTACTGAAGCTGATGTTAAAACTGTAAAGCAAAGTTCTTGTACTTTAGTAATTCTGAAATAGGTTTTTATATCAAAATTAAAAAGATTTATGTGATAAAAACTCGTTTTACCATTTAAGTAGTCATTATAAAGAAGGTCTAATAGTAAGTTACACGATAAAACGTTTTAACAAGCGATTAGTTGTTAAATACTTTACGCGCTCGTTCCATACCTCCATGTATTACGACTTTATTCTCAACATTATAGATATCTATGTGTTTTGTGATATTATAACTATATTTTAGCTAAGTATTCTCTTCCTTAACTAGAGGTAATTCATGTTTGACTGTATATCTTACTTTTCGCTTATTTCTTAACTCAAAAAGTATGTAACTTTGTTAGTCCTAACAACTCGTTATCGTTAGAATTTCGATCTGATACACCACTCCTCCCTAAAAATTTTTCTCTGTGCGCGTCTTCTCCAGATTTGTATATAAAATGTTAGTACTTGACCTTGACTTTATTAGTCTCCACCTTTTCTCTCCTCAGACTATTACTTTTTTCTTGAGATCGTCTCTTGTTCTTACGACTTGATTAAGCCGCATAAGTAGCTGGATGTTAACACGCTGAACAGTGTCAGTGCTTGTAAAACCCATTGTTTATTCGAATTTAACCATTATTCGAATGGTCATTGTCAACTCGTAAGAGAAAAAGCTTTTACGAATATCTTTTTATGGCTGTTTTATAGCGTTCTGTGTAAGTTTGATCGATCGTGAAAGAATTCTAGATCACCAAATTATCTGCTGAACCCACAATAGCACCTATTTTTAATGGTAATTCTTCGTCTATGTTCTGAGCTGTCAATGTTGTTATTTTTTATGCTCTTGGCAATCTACAAACTATAGTCATTATAAACCAACTGAACGTCCGAATTTTGCTTTTATCTATCAATACTTAACAAACACTTCGGAAGTGTCACACATTCCTTAATTATGCGGTAGAGTCCTGATCCACGTAGGGTTTTGAATGAGATTTAAACAGGAAAAATTCTTTTTTGATTTTTGATGTATAATACAATTTGTATTTTCTAGTGTGAAGCAATCAACACAAATCAAATCCTTATTGAAGAATATGAATTTTGAAAGGAATAATCAGAAATGAAATGCTGAAACAAACACACTGAAGCGTAATGTCCTTTGATTCGAATTAATTGCTTGTAAATATTTTGTTTCGTCTTGTTTCTGCTGCTATACTTCAAGATAAAAGTATCTCGTTTGCCGTACATTTTAGTGCCTTATCCGTACAAATTATGATTTCTTTTGGGTAAATTTTTCACTTTAGTGTCCTTTTGAGTAAAGTAAAATTATTACACGTTTTCTTTGTGTTTGATTTTTGTGTTGGCATAAATATCGAAGACAATGTCAGTAGAAAAATAAATAAAAAAGCCAAAAAATCCTTAAACCCCTAATGGGAGGGTAAACGCCTTGGCAACTTTTCGCTTAGTTAATTTTGATATACGAGATATATATGTAAGATATATTTTTAGATACAATAAATATTTTTTTAAGCTATTTATTGATGCTAAAGATGTATACTGCCACAATTGTTGGAGGGTGGAGCACAAAAAATTTTAAAGATGGCTGCATATTCAACTTAAGGAAACTTTTTTAAGCGCCATAAATTTGTTGTCAATGCTTTTCGGTTTTTGGACAGGAATGTATCTCTTTTGATGTGGATGCTGCTGTTGGTGGTTGTTGGTATTGTTGTTGTTCTGAATAAACGGAACGCTTCAAAAAAGAATCTCTCATGCGTAACTCATTATTTTTCTTTCACAAAAGCAATTGCAAAAGTTTGTGAAGAAAGGAACTCATTTGTATGTGAAAATGCAGACACAAAGAAAATAGAATGCATTTATATGCTTTCTCTAGGGATTCTTTAAGTATTTAATAATATTCTCAATTATCTGAAAGTTCATTCTCATATGGATTGCTCAAGCGAGAAAATAAAATTGCAGAAATTATCTTGCAAACTTTTAGAGCGTTAAATATACTATGCTCTCATTTGTGTCATTATGCTAAATATACACATCTGCTGAAATATTGCAAATATAAGTATATTTAATATAGTTGCATACATTTCATTCTCCTATTTTGCTATTTAATAAGATTCTCGCAAATTTCATTATATTAGGAAATATGTTCGGATTTAATGAAAGTACTCATTTTTTTCTAAAATTATTACTTCCTAGCATCACCTTTATTGTGACTTGATTATTGAATTAAAACATCTCTTTACATTACTAATCAATAGTTTATTACCTACTGTAACATAAAATTTACGTTCGTAAGATAACCACATCTTTGCACCAACGCCACCGTCCACCGGGTATTCAAACTTTCCACTGCTCCTATCAAATCAATTTATTGTAGGACTGGACCTGGAATCCGGCGAGCAAAACCCCGGCCAGAAAGGTTCGTTACACTACTAATTACAATATATTTGAAAACTAACTATTTTCCAAATTGACAGTAAAAAGAATTGCCATAACAACCCTATTTTAGGTTTGCTCTCCTCAAGCGATATGTCTAGGTCAAGAATCTCACGTCGTTTCTGTATTTATGCTCCTGCATTACATATCGTTTTAAATAACATTTTTCGGGTTCTTACCCCACAGCATGGTCTTCTAGTCTCTTTATTGCATGTTCATATCAGGAGAGACAAAATGTAGTAGTCAAAATCTAAGGAAAATAAAAGTTAATAATTTGGAAATAGAAGGGAAAGACGTTGTGAAATACATAGGCTTAGGGAAAAGATACACTTGTCTAGAGAATATAAAGGTCAAAATACAGACCTTGTGTTATATTACAACTCTGAATGCACTGAAGGAATTAAAACCAAAAAAGTTAAGTGCGAAAAATAGAATTTTACTTTGTAAGCTACTTTATGGATATGTTTCTTAAGATAATGCTGCTCCAAATACCATTAGACGTATGCTTAAATCTCCATGATATGCCAGAAATAAAGATATACATAAAGACTTGATACTATTGATAGATACTATTAAATAAAAGTGCTTTGGACACTAATTCGCAAAGAAAGGATGAGGAAGAGAGAGTTGTTGATGCTTTGCGTTGATCAAGACGATTTTGTTTTTATCTTGAATGAAACGGTTTTGCAACTAATCGTAATAAATCCTTTTACTACTATTGACTGTAAAATTTTTAATTTACTTCAACGTAATAATATTTTTATTCAGAAACAGTTTTCCTAGCGTATTCCCATAGAAATTTATATTAATTTAATTTTATTATATATAATAATTGCAATATCATATTTATCAATATATTATCAATTGGGGAAAAAGAAACACTGTTGCAAAATATAATTTTTAAAGAGATTCTTTTTATTACAAAAATTGAAACAAATTCACTTTTCTGCTATTTCGATTCATCCATAATGACAGTGCAAAATGTATCTTTTTATTGCTATTATTTATATATTTCTTTGTGTTTTTTGCATTTCCTGTCATACATCGACGGCATTGTGCAGCACATTTTCATTGATTTCGCATCCATTAGTCCTGCAAGTGTTACGAGTAGCTGCACACGCTACTTTTGTTGCATTGTCCCATAACTTCGTCATGCTTGTGCTGGTATACTTAAGCCTTTGTCTGCTCGGACAATCGCAGAAGACAGACAGACACGCATAACATTTTAATCTCATACCCGATAATGATATCGCAAAATCTCGAGTTTGTTTATACCAAACAGAGATTTACGCCAATTAAGCACTTTTTTAAAACTCTCAAAGGACTATCAATATGTGCGCTCCACCCCTCCGATTAACCCTCTTGTGCTTGAACGCGCTATATTTTGTATGTTTGCATTGTGGTGCGTTACGCGGTTCTACACGAGTGGTTGTGTCTCTAGTAGTTTTAGTTGTGAGTTCCCAGTATTCATGCATGTAAATTATTTATGCGATTATTTACAGATATCACTGCTACCAGTGCTAATAAATAAAGTTTCAGTTAGTTTCGATTATGTGACAATTATAGTCGGGTAGATTTATGATGTTGGTTAAAGTGTTTTTTGAGTGTGGGAATTGAATTTTGTGTGGGGCTTCATGCCTTGATGTAGCAAATTAAAAAGTGTGTCAGTTAACAGTTAACTAATTTATTGGTTAAAATTTCGTAGTATGATTCAACCAAATTGGCAATGGAAGCAAGGAACTACGTTGATGACATCTTCTAAGTTCTTGCTTTTATTTATATCAAGTTTTTTAATTATATTTAGTGACAAGTAGTTACTTAATTATAATTTGTATTTATTTATTTTCATATATTTTAGATAAATCTTCTGCGGGTTTATCAACCACATCTCTTGGTAGCGCAAACAACGATAGTCATCGTAGTTCTAATAAATGCTTAACGGGTAAGTGAAATGCTATAAAAGTACTTTCACCCTTAAATTCCAATTTCTGAAAATCCTTAAAACAGTTAAAGCTTTTTGTTGCACACCCAGGACAATCACCCTTAAATTCAAGCATTTAAATTTTAACGTTAGAGTGAGCTGTTATCCATTTAAGCAACATCCTTGTAGTCCTTATAGTCCTATCACAATTTAAGAAACTAGAAGAAGATACGGAAGCTGTTAATGTTTTATTTGACTTAGTATACAAATTATTAATGGATTAGATAATAATATTTTTTCAATTTTTTTTATTTTTTATTATATAATTTTGAAACGAACTAGTTGGTCAATTGTTCAAATAGTAGATAACTCACTAATATTTTAGTTATAATCTATATCCATTCTCAGAGTCTTTGACTATAGATTATAGTCGAAATATTGATAAAAGGAAGATATAATGGTTAGTAACAATTCAAAAAGAATTGACGAATTCAAAAATAAAATTAATAAATAATATATTATATTATCATTAAAACAATAAATTAAAAATTATTTTTATAAGTAAATTATTGTTTTTAGTATAGAACATATTTATGTCAGAGAGTTCTATTTATACTACATCTTTTCAATGTGTAAATATATGTAAAGAACACAAAACTGTGCAGTAATAAAAAATATAATTGCACTGCTTGCAGAATCATATGTAAGGTATATCCAAGGAAAGTCTAATAATCTTCAGGACCAATTTCCTTATGCAAGAAATACAAAAACTTGTATGAGAAGGGTGAGACGTCCATGTTCAATATTCACTAAGATATTGTAATGCAATATCTCAAATTCGGTTCATTCAAATGTTCAAAGTTTTATATCAATTTTTAGTTCAATCAATCTCAAAATCGGTTCATCTAAACAGCTGAAGTTGTGAATTAATATATAGTTTATATCAAATATCCTTTATATCACGCTTAAAATATATTGGAGTTTGATTTAAAGTATTTAAATACCATTAACTAAGTTTGCATTAATTTCTTAAAATTCAGAGACGACTACATCCACATTCGACAGATACCATAAAAATTCGTATCAGTCCTTAATTATTATATTAAATATCCTTATTTTTATTTATAATCTCAAATTTATAAACATTTTTATCAATTATATAATGAAAATTTGTCACACTCGCTTCAAGCACTTAAGTCATATAAATCTCAGATTATAGCTTAATTCAACTACTCGAGAAAGTACATACTTCAGAATGACCTCACACACAGTAGGACATAATAATGGGAAAGTTTGTAAACATTTGTACAGATAAGACTAAATGCAAGTAAAAATATTCAGAATAGTAACGAGAACAATCAAAATAGCAATCAAAACATTACAGGCTTATAGCACTATAATTTTGATGATAATGATGACTCTTAAGTGCTCTTCAGAGTTAATCCTATTAAGCCATGTAGCACACGACCATCCCCTTTTACGAAATGCATAAATAAGACATATACGCATAGGAATAAATGCAGTAGCAACTGTTGCAAGTCCAGTTCAGCTAGTGTGGAAAAAAAATTGTACTCATTCATCTTCTGTAAGGATTGCTTCACATTGTCCTGGAATAATGAAGCTAATCGTCAGATAATAAAATGATCAATATGCGCTATTGAAAGAGATGCAACAATATCGTGAGAAAATATTCCGAGCAATTAATAAAATCTCAATTTTTGAAGTCATAAATTTTACTAGTTGCGTGTGAAGCGTGGCAGGGGTGGTTAAAAAAGAGATACTGCTCACAAGGGAGTGGTTGAATACTGCAGATAAATGAAAATTTTTACAATTATTGGTATGATACTTAATAATTTTATATCATTTGCGATATGATAATTCGTACTTAGACCAATTGTTAAAAAAAATCATAGATTTTCAAATACACGAGATTAAATCAAAAACTGGAGGACAATTGCTTAAATATGAAAGCACTATCAGTCTCAGAAAAATTATTGTGAAATAACTGTCCACGATTAACCCAAACATAATGTATGCTGATAAGTTTCGGATTGCTTTGAAAAAACCAATACATTCTGGATCTTAATAAAAGACCTACAAATAGAAACATATACGATATAGCCTTCATGCTTCGGTATTCCATCATTATAACTTTTTGAGTTCTAAAATAATTGTCTTTGACTCACTACCCTAACTCACTACCACCTTTTGCCTTGCAAGAATCACTAGATCCTCGATGTCAATTAAAAATTTATAATATAAACATAAAAGCAATATCTAGAGTATCTATCTATACTCTAAATGCTCTTAAAGGTCAGTTGACAGTTTTATTAGCAACTAGCTGAATTCGAATCAATCTACTTGTAGATTATCAAAATAATTATCTGAAAGTATACATTATATCTACTCCAATTTTATAATCGAAATATCAGGTTCTACATTTTTAAAGATCTAAACAGTAATGAACAAAACTGAAATGTTTATTAAATTAACACGAACTGCATCTTAACCAATAAAACCATCCGTTGACTTAGAGCTTCTATAATTCATTAAGAGGGAGATGCTTAAACAATAAAAAATTTTATTTAATAATTTTAAAGATGCCAGGATAAGGATTTTTAATTTAAATTAAATGATGGGTAAAGGAAACAATAGTTCATTGTGGGTTCCGCTTTCAATACGGCTCTGGTATGAGTAATATGTCATTATGTTATTAGTATACTTATATGTAATAGATATCTTTATATATATTTTTTCGTTTGCATTGACAAACTTTATTTCTACCAGAACACAGGTTTTTCAAAAATTTATCTCTCCTGTGGTCTCTGCGTATTTATTTGCTGTTGCTTGTTGTTATTCTTATATAGCTTTCTGATTTATATATATTAATTTGCAAAAAAAATTGTGGTTTTCTGTGTAGATACATTATAGTATAAAACAAAACTGCAGAGTAAATATTTATCTATTTAACTTTTTGATATTGAAAATGTTTATAGTCATTTATTCATTCAACCTTTTAAGATTGAAAACGTTTACAGAAATTTATCTGTTAATCTTTTAAAATTGGAAATGTTTATATAATATTTTATTTCTTACAAAACCACGAGCAAAATTTGGTTTAATTTTTATTATCTTCATTTTCTTGGTGGCGTCAACTGATATTTGTGGCCATTGTTTTTTGGTTTTTTGATGCTATTAGTTGGCACTTTAATATATGCTTTTTAGTCTATGTATATCAGCTAAGTTAAGTCGTGAAGGAATTGAGTTCGTAATTTATGTTATATGAAATAATTTGTCAAGTGTGAAATGTAAATGATGAAAATTCTTATTAAATGTTATAGCAGATTTTTGTGCTTTTGAAAATAATATTATTATATATATTTCTTTGGTGTATTTAAAATTTATTTATTATTATTATTACAACAATATGTTTATGTGTTATACTTTTGGTAGGAACACCGCTCTTAGTAAGAGCATAGGGCGGAGAAAAATAATAACACCATATAATTATCAATGATAGTTGAATATTCGTAATTAATTATTAATCCAAACATAAATATAAAAAGTAATTTTCAATGAATAATACAGTTGTTGGTTAGATAATAAATCTAGTCAAATTATTTACACAAAGATCATTGTTTGTTCATCAAAGAACCAATTTAAAATTACCTCCTCCTACTCATAGTTTTATGGGTACTATGATTAAATTGGCAACATCTACCAGATTGTTTCGATCATCATCATCATTATTAGAGACATCGACAGTTTGATTTATGACAAACTTGTGCGCAAACCATACCAGAAATGGGCACACGCTTTCAAACTATAAAATAGGAAGAAAAACAGGATTGGTTTTGGGGGATGGTAATGACTTTCAGAAGTAAATATAAATAAAAAAATATGTGAAATTTTAACTATAACACTGTCCATCCCGAAACGAAGTGAACTGAACTGCGAAAAGGGCCATGAATAAAAATATTTACACATTCATTTTCTATGCAGTTAGTCACCCTTGTAAACAGACTTTGACTTTCACCACCCAAATGTGAGAAAATTGGAAAAATTTTATAAATGTGCGTAATTATAATAAGTAAAAGTCATTTATGGAACAAACTTACAGTGAAATAATATTGGAAGACAGATAATCCAAGATGAGCGTAAAGTTTTGTGTCTTTGATATGAAGATTCAGTGCATATAAATATATTACATATTCGTAGAAATAATAGTTGAATATTAGCCAACTATGATTAAAATAAAATTATTTTTTAGTACTTTTTTTCAAACACTTAAGTTCAAAAGCCTTCATTCTATCGCTGTGATTCATTTCAATGCAGCATTACACAAATTGTGTGTATGTGTGTATATGTGTGTAATAAATTTACACAAAAAGTGCTCACAGTTCGTGTGCAGCTAATGCGACCAACGTTGAAGCTGCGAAAAGCGTTAAGGCGCAAAAAATTACCATTCAAGTTGCTGCCAAATTGTGAAAATTTACACTTGTGCACATTACACACAAAACGATATTCTCTTACTTTTTCACTTTTATATTTTATATTTTATTATTTCATTGTAGATTTTGTCACATTTTGTGAGCTAAAACAATTATGAAAAATAAATTCCAAAATTAAATTTTACGAATGAAACATACGGTGCCAAAGACTCCCAGTGCGGCCGTCTGTCGTTTAGTTAAGCGCAACGTAGTCAGTGATTCTGCTGGAATCAGAATCAGCTGCTTAAGCTACAGCAACACCCACAGAACCACCCATTGCGAAACAAAATTATTTCCACGGAGATTGGGTCGGGTGTGGAGTGCCATATACCGAAATTCCGAAATACCAGCGCAACAGAATGTGTTTACATTTCAGAAGATTGTGAGTGAACTGATTTTTTGCATCAGTCACCATGTTTGTCATGTCTCTGGGAACGAAATTTTCCTTGCAAGATACAAACAGTTCGAAAAGTTTGGATTTTATGATGAAGTGTTGAAGTTAATGTTTGTTTTTATATTTACTGTTGATGATTGTTGAT